GTGGTAACTACAAGTTTTTCTTCTCGCAAACATGCAAATACCTATTTATATTTGTGCAACAAGCAAAGTGGTTACTTCTAAAGTTGCTTCTCGTCAATGATACCTTTTGTGGAGCACCAACAAGCCCTACACTCTCCTAAAAAAACAAGCCATATATTGCGCTACATTCAAAAGAACTGGCCCTTAACCTCTTTGCACAGAACCCTTTCGGTCCCGAGAACTCACCAGCCGACACACTCGCTTTCCGAATATTCCACGCATATGTCTAACCAAAAATGGTAAATGTTGAACATGTGATGTATGGGTGCCCTGCCAAAACATGATCACGGAATAGTTTGATGAACCTCCATCTTTTACCGTCTTGCTGCTATGATTTACTGCCCATAAGTTTTCTTTATTAGTGGGTGTCCTCCTCCTTTTTCTCATGCATGATTTGAGTTGTTTTTGACGGCATACTCCCCGGTCCGGTGAAAAGTGTACATATAAAAAATTTAGGACAAATTATGCAGTAGGGTAAAAAATGCATTGGAAAGGTGCAAGCCACCATCTCTTTCCTTTACCAACCCCCAACGAGCTAAGTGCATATAGAAATTAAGGAGACCAAGTGTAGAATGTCATTGGTCTTGATTACCGTGCTTCTCGTCAACTATTTTTCTACTTTAAAGTGCATTGGGAAGATAAAAGTACAGTTTTTTGTAGAATGAATTTTAAAGCCAAATGTACACTCTTCATGAGGGAGTATGTGGGGTTTTCTGTTTGTTGATACGTTATACTCCCTCCATTTACTTGTACAAGGCCATTATGAAAAATACATTTTGCATCTATACAAGGCCAATAACAGTAATCAAGACAAAAGTTAATGATATTTCCTCGTTCTAGCAAACCCGTTTAATACTTACATGTGTGTAGTCATAATGACACTCCACTCAGTTTCCTATTTCTTACTTGCATGCTTGCGGCGTAAATCCAAGTAAACGAAAAGAAAGCTGGTTTACAAAGCAAGACATTAAATTTTATCATGATACATGTAATTTGAGTTTGTGGCCTTGTATATAAAAATGGAGGGAGTACTATGTTATGGTGTGAAGCTGGAAGGATACTACTTACTGTTGTGATTGTCATCTCATGTGTTTTAGTTGTTGCTTCGCTAGTGATCTTCCCGAGACAAGTGCAGTGGTCATGGTAAACGCAAATATGTGAATGTGAAAGTGGCTGGACTCAAATTGACTGTTCAACACTTGAACCTTAAATAACAACTGAATTCCACTCAAAAGCTGTAACATTATCGAGACAACACAGGCACCACCAACGTCTAATCCTGGCATACAACCAATCCCTTAGTAGCTTTGCAGTCAGCACTGTTACAATGCAGGTTAAATAACAAAAGGTCTCTGCTTAAGAGAACGAGCGATGTTTCAAGCCAATCTCATATGGATCTCCACGGACACTGTCACCCGGTCCTCAAGATGATGTGCACCCCGCTCTCAGTATCAACCACGTCGCTCATGTCCCCCACCTTCAGAGCAATCACTGCCTTCTCGAAAGGCTTCTGCATCTTGCCCTTCTCGAATGGACCTACGGCCATAAATCGTGAAACGCTAAGTTAGGCCTGATTATGAACGAATTTTTGAATCATAAAGAGAATGACTGAATTGAAGCATCAGGGGTACAATAGAAGACAGTAATGAAGTACTAGTAGTGGAAACTGGAAAGACCACGAGTTTGTCGCGGAAAAAGACAAGACATAACAGTATGATGCACATGGCATTCCTTCATTACAGCATCCAAATAACATAAATCAAGGCAAAACAGATTCTAGACTGCATCCCCTAAATATGATACTCCCTAATAAGTGTCGCAGTTTTGAACTAACATTTTAATGCAGGGATTGTCTACGTTGTACAGATGTTTCATCCCATACTCCCATGCAAAATAGAGTTTACCTGAACAGGCCTAGAGCAATTCACATTTCTTAGCAATGTAAGATGCAGTTGGTTAAGAACACTAGAAAAAATACTGCGCCAGGAAGAAAAAAATCTAGTGATGTGTGCTATTTTCATGATTTTAGTCCCTTGTGGATGCTGGGTGCATGCAGTGCAAATATGTCAACACAATAAGAACATATTTGAGAACCGAACGTCACTCGTTTGGTGGGGGTGCTCCAGTGACAACACGCCCACCAGGGTTCAACACCTGCATGAGGTGGAATTTGTTTACGCACCACGGACTGACTGGCTGGTGTCCGTCGTACTTCTTTAGAACAATGCCACTGGGTGCTAGTGCCTGGTTGGTCGACTTAAATTTTTTTAACGTTCTTGCTCATAATGGTGCTCAATTGTCCCATTTGATGTTCCAAAATCGATGATTCGATAACCCTAGGAAATTATCAATTATAGAAAAGGTACTGCAGAGAAGCATGCTGTAATTTTGGACAGAACAACTATGAAACACTATACAATTTAAACATGCCATCATGTTCAGTTGGTCAGCTTCTTGTTTTTGGAAAAGTAATATATCACCACGTCTTTATAGTGTATTTTGGTGTGTCCCACAGGCGTGTGTTATCCCTGCAACATTCCACAATATTCATGCAGGTAGGAATCTCAGCTAAAAAATGACCTGGCTAAGGGCAGGCTCAAAAGGCAGCCTGGACATTGGAATTATAACATACATAAAGCATGTACTACCAGTTTTTACATATAGTTGCAGGCAACAAAAAAATCAGAGAAAACAAGGAAACCTTAGCAATTATTATTAACAAAACTCATAGAAAGAGCAAATTAGGGAACTAACTGGAGTAAATCATCCTGAGTTGGTTAACGCGACCATTATTTGTTCTAGTGGATATAAGTACTTACCTAATCACTGAAAGGTCAAAAAAAATATATGACAGGAACAGAGAGATATTAATTGGTCAGTTCAAATACAATAGACATGGGTACCAACAACTAACCGACTTGCAGTGGACTAAGATAACAGAGAGACATCAATTGGTCAGTTCGAATACAACAGACTTGGGTGCCAACAACGAACCGCCTTATAGTGGGCTAAGATTAGATAAAGAGAGAGATATTAATTGGTCAGTTCCAATATAACAGACATGGGTACTGACAACAAACCGCCTTATAGTGGGGCTAAGAAGCCAACAGAACTTGTAGAATGCTTAAAGAGTTGAAGAGGGAACATCTGGCATTCATCCATAGTTGCACACAATTGAAGCTACTCCTGCATAACAACTCAGATTATTGCCTGAATTATAGTGCATCTCTCAGTCAGAGATGCAGCACTCCAGTGAGGCTGTATGGGACCAGCCAACATATCCAGGTTATGTAACACGCCACGCAAGCTAGTTTTGCCAAATTCTGATCAGCATTCCACACACCAAGCGCCACCGACACCCCCAAATTGGCCACACC